AAACCCCAAACCTTCATTTTAAAGAGCATCTTTTACTGGTTTTTCTAAAGTTCCAGTGATGCAACAAGTGATGACTGAGAGGTAGGAAGAGGGAAGAAACATCAATGATGAAGCAAATGTACTTCTTCAGGATGCAAAATGGAAAATAAAATTGACAAGATAAGGTAGGCATATACTGGTAAAAATGTTGCTTGTCCTCCAGTCTCAACTGTGATGGCACTGTAACTCCTCCTTAGAAGATTAGGAGGTTTATTTTCTGAAATGGAAGGACAGAATGTGAAGACACAGCAGACACTCCCCAGAAGACTGATCCGCAGTAATGTAATATTGAGGGTGTGTGGTTGCTGTGCACCCTCAGCACAAACTCAGTGTGTGCTGCATGGATCAAAGCATTGGTTATGCAGACCTCAGAGTACTCAGAAGAGAATACTTGCATAACCATTAAACAGAAACTATGTAACCTAGAAGAAGTTACCAAAACACCTTTTGTATTATGCATATTTTCTGGTCTAATTATATAAATGTGCTCTATTATTTATAAAACCACATCACTTCAAAATTTAGTACTGTGTTGCCTTTCCACTTTTCTGCACTACTAAATTTTGCTCTTAATATTTTCAGAGTTGCATTTTGAGTATACAGATTTAGGACAAGACTGGTCTCAAGTGGCACCATAACATTAAATATTAAATAACTGATTCAAACTGCAACCAAGAGGAAAATCAGATGGCAGTCAAATCTTAAGCCAGAAAATTGAAGAGGAAAGCAATCTGGATTTATCAATTTATCACACCTGCTATTTTGTACATCTTAGTGAGCTGTGCATAACAGTTTCCTTCCTCAAATGACTTCTGCTTAACCATAGTGCAGGAATGATTTACCACTTACATGGTCCAATCTAGCTCAGCAGCATTACTATGCCCAGAGGCAAGATGATTTTATTTATTTATTTATATATCTGTGTATTCTTTTATTAATTAGCATCTTTTCTACCCACTTGCTTCTACCAGTCTTTGCAGAAATGAAGCAAATTATCATTACAGAAATCTGGGGAGGCTGCAAATTGGAACAGTGAAGCTACTGCCATCAACCATACTGTCATACTTGCAACTTTGTATGAGGCTAGTTACTAGGAATGAAGATTATTAAAGATTTAGTGGAGGGTACTGCTTGAGCTGCTGGTAGTCCTATTCTTTGGATGGATTAAGCTTTATTTTTCAGTGTTCTGTCATGTATTTTTACATGGTTTATTGCCTAAAAAATAGTAACCTTGGGGGGATTTTTTGTTGTTTTAGGGGAGGATTGCTGGCTGTTGTGTTTGGTTTTAACCTAAAGTTGAAGCATAATAGGTTAGTTGATCTAGAAGTTCAGTCTGTGAGTTTTTGGGATCATCCTCTAAATATCTCTCCTTAGACCTAGTCATCTAGAAGGAGTGCATACCTCTGCCTCTGGAGGTACAGGGGCAACATTAATTGGACTAAGTCCTATTGAGTGAATCAGAAAGTTGAAGGCTCTTCTTCTGTGTTTGGGGGAGCAGAAAAATACATTTTGAGGATAAAACATTGCCTGCCTTAAGCCACAGTGGGCATGTGGGGAATGTAGCAATGATTCCCATTTAAAAGAAATAAATATTCAGTATTGTTTAAACTCAGCTTCATAAATGCTCCTTTGATCCCTCTTACAGTAAACGTACCCTTCACAGACAAAGGAAATCATTGCAGCAAAAAGAAGTTTTCAGTCTCATTTAACAATTCTATAGCCCAGCTACACACTTGTCCAGTTCAGTCAGACGGGGGGGATTAAAATGGAGAACAAGCTGTGTAATGGCAGTTCAAGCCTTCTCATCTTCTCCAGAACCAAGACCTGCAAATGTGGAGCTTCTGATAGGCTCAGTTTGACTTTCAGCCCAAAGCCTGAGCCCAGAGGTCTGTCAGCCACTGCCAGCAGTTGAGCAGTACATGACTGAGAATGACAAATCTGACAATTTTCTAGAATGTATTTCCAGGGGAAAACTTCAGGTGTCTTCAGTTCCTCTGAAAATAGTTTTCAGAGCCAGAAAGCCAGTTTCCTTGACTGCAGGCAATGTGGTGAGCCTGTGACTAGTTGCTAAATATGATGGGCTTTTTAAATGTTAACTCTTTTGTAGTGTGGCATTTTTACATTGCTGTTTGTGACCCTGACTATAGCAAATCAATGGCAAAAGCATCTCTGTAAATAACAGCTACAATTCTGGAAGCACAATGGCTGTTATGTTTTTAATACTGTACATTTACTATGTTTCATGCTTGTTTGTCAAAATTCAGTTGGATAGCATTGGATTCTTGCACACCATTGCTGAGCAGCAGATACTGATTTGGCATCAAAGCCATAAGGACTGTGTGCTGCTGGGTGGGTGCTGCAGAGCTTGGGCTCTGCAGGAGTGCCAGAGTTCACAGCTTGGCCAGTCTGTCTTCCTGGGAAAAAGTGGAAGAGAAAACCACAGGATCAAAGAGGCCTTGTTACACCTTCAGCTTTACCCTTGGAACAAGTGGCTGTTTTCCTGAGAGGGCAGCTATGCTGAGCTCCCTCAACCAGGCAGCAGGTCCATGGGGAGGATGGTGTCTTTCTGACACAGAACATGAAATCCATGTGGTGGGCTCTGCAAAAGGTGTGGTGTGCATGGGATAGGGGGGTGCTTTGCTTGAGCATCGCTTTAACAATTTGTTTTTATTAGCGGAAGTTTAATTCCACATTTCAGGAATACTAGCTGCCTGGTACAAAGCAGTGGAAAGTCCATTGTAGCTTGTCTACCACTGCAGTTAACTGATTAATGGTGATAAACATGCTGGAGGTCAATTCCAACTTTGCTTTTATTTGTATTTTTGTTTATTGCAGTTTGTCTGAGCCA